GGGCCCCGTCCTAAAATCAACGGTTCTCATGCCAGAGCCCCAGAGTTAGCGGGTAGCAGAGGATCTGTCTCCGAGGTTCGCGTTCCTCTGATCTAGCAGCAATCGTGTCAATTCGCCCGCCCTGCTTTTGTGTTCGTGCAGGGGATCCCGATGTCACCAAGGTGGTAGCTAATGAAGCCACAGTCCTGGATGTCCCCGCTGAGGTTAGCGGGCCACCCGCCAAACGTTCCCACAGGCTGCAGGAAGAGGAAAGCACAGCTTCCGAACACGAGCCATGGCAAGCCAAGGTGCCGAGGAGTGGGAGTCAGCAGCTCGAGACCGGCTCAACCGCTGAGGCTAACGGTGGGTGCGAGGAAGAACTGGACAAGGGCGTGGATCCCAGATCTGCAGCAGAAAAAGCAGAGATGGGGCATAAAGAGGCGTGTCCAGGAGACCTGGATCTGCTGTCGCCCTCAAGCAGGGTTCGACTCGGTGCTCGCTTGGTTGGAAAGCCTTGTGAGGTGCATGCTCTGGCCAGCCAGGTCCAGAAGTGCCTGCAGGACTGCGGTGGCAGGGCAGCTGGGCAGGAATCCCAGCAGCCCAGTCCTTCTGAAGGACAGAGTTCAGAAACTTGTGAGAAAGAGAGCAAAGCTGCCAAAGACTCCAAACCGGCATCCCCAGAGCATGGGAGAAAGGGCCCGCCTGAGGGGCAGGAGGACTGCACGGCGCTGGTGGAGGGTCATTCTGGCAGTCCAGGCCCCCCACCAAAAGCTCTGTCCCAGAAGGAGACGGTGAAGCGCAGGTACCACTGCGGGGAGTGTGGCAAAGCCTTCCTGCAGCTCTGCCACCTGAAGAAGCACCGCTTTGTCCATGCCGGCCACAAGCCCTTCCTGTGCACAGAGTGTGGCAAGAGCTATAGTTCAGAGGAGAGCTTCAAGGCCCACGTGTTGGCCCACCAGGGCGTGTGGCCTTTCCAGTGCACCCAGTGCGACAAGGCGTACCGCACCAAGCGAGACTTGCAGGAGCACCAGGTCCTGCACACCGGCCAGCGCCCCTTCTCCTGCGAGCAGTGTGGCAAGGCCTTTGCACGCCGGCCCTCCCTCCGCGTTCACAGGAAGATCCACCTGGCTGCCGGGACTGGCCCAGCTGGTCCCGAGGGATGCCAGTGTGCCATATGTGGACGTCACCTGGCCAACCCTGGCTCCTTGTGCAACCACATGCGCCTGCACACGGGGGAGCGACCGTACGCCTGTCCCTACTGCGGCAAGGACTTCCGACAGCAGAGCAACCTGCGCGAGCACCTCCGCCTGCACACGGGCGAGAAGCCCTACAAGTGCCGCTTCTGCAGCGACGCCTTCCCCAAGCTGCCAGAGCTGCGGCGACATCTCATCTCCCACACGGGCGAGGCCCACCTGTGCACCGTCTGCGGCAAGGCGCTGCGGGACCCCCACACGCTGCATGCCCACGAGCGCTTGCACACAGGCGAGCGCCCTTTCCGCTGCGAGCGGTGCGGCAGGGGCTACACCCCGGCC